TTTATGTCTTACAGGGCTTATACTGAGTTCAATATTGTATAACTGTAATAACTCAACTGTGAACCTAGAAACTTACAGCCATTTGTGAAAGAGATGTACTCTTGCTCTGGAGTGTGTTACTGAATATGTTAAAGCTGTAATAAAATGCTTCTTCTAATCATGTAGTAATTAAAAATCTAAAAAATAATGATAAAAAAATCATTAAATGAATTTTGACGGGATTAGGATAGAATTTCCAACAATTTCTGAAATGGCTGTAAACATAGTTCTGCTATTTTGTACTATGTATTTATATGAAGCTTCATTCTTAGCAACATGCCTACAAAATCAAAATTTCAATCAACTGAAAAACATTAAAGATGCAGGCTGGGGATGTGGCTTAGTTGATCAAGTGCTTGCCTATCATGTACTAAGTCCTGAGTTTGATCCCCTCCACCACAAAAACAGGGCACAGTAGTGCATTTCTATAATCCCAGCAGTTGGGAGGTAGAGGCAGGAGGATCAGAAGCTCAAGATTACATGGCAAATTTGAGGCCAGCCTAGGCTACGTGAGTCCTTGACTCATTAAAAAAAAAAATTGAAGATGGTCTAAATCCTGTAGTATAAAATATGTAGCCAAAGGGCCAAGGAGAAAATTCAAAGGATAAAGCAATTGTCACTCAAGTATGAGCACTGGAGTTCAGAATCCCAGCACCCACATAAAAGCTGGGTGAGCATGACAGCCTGTCTGTAACCCTATAGTCGGATGTCAGAGAAAATGGATCCCCTGGGCAAGCTGATTGCTGGACTAGCCAAATTGTAAGTTCCAGGTTCAGCAGGGGACCCTGTGTCACTGTGGAGAGTGATTGAGGAAGGCACCTGACATCAATCTCTGGTCTCCACATGCATGTATACATACATACATGTACATGCAAAAGTAATTGAGCCAAGATTTAATACTTTATGTAAAAATAATCAAGCATATCTATCTCATTATTGTGCAAATTTGTTTTTGTCTTTAATAAATAATAAAATTATATTTATACCAAAGGAAAAAAAAATCAAAACAAAAAAAGAGAGATGGCGCGTGATGTTGACCTTTGTCCTCCACACTCGTGCACAGGCCCCATGCCACATGTGCACCCACACACACCTGCACATATGTGCACAGACCCCACGCCACATATGCACCCACACACACCTGCACACATAGCCACACAAAGACAAACAGGAAGGAAGAAGGAAGGGAGAGGAGAGGCAGGAGGGAGGCAGGATTGGGGCGAGCTGCTCTAGCTGAGGCCCTAGACTGACAGTGCCCCTCCTCGGGAACAGTGGCCCTGAGCTTGGCTCCTCTTCTCTGGCCCAGGACACTCAACCTTCCTGAGACAATGGCGTCTTCTGTTCCTTAATCTCCCATCACAGCTGGGGGAGCAGGTGGACATCTGGGGGCAGTGGAGACAGTACGACACTTGTGCTGGTTTAATGAGAAATGTCCCCAAGGCTCAGGACTGAAATGCTTGGTCCCCTGTCAGTGGTGCTGTTTGTGGAGGGTAAGGAACCTTTGGGTTGGGGAGCCTTGCTGGAAGAAGTTTGTCCCTGGGGAGCGGGCTTTGAGACCATATAGCCTCACCCACTTCCAATTTGCTCTCTGATCTTGCGTATAGAAAGGAATGCAATCCCTCAGGTTCCTGATGTAGCCACCTGCTGCCACGCCACCTGCCATTACGGGCTCTAACCATCTGGAACTGTAAGCCAAAGTAAACTTTCTTTTACTTACGCAAAGGGGTGTGTTACTGGAGCTGGAGAGATAGCTCAGTGCTTAAGAGCACTGGCTGCTCTTTTAGAGAACCCAGGTTCAGCACATAAGGAGACTAACAAGCATCCATAACTCCAGTTTCAGGGGATTTCACTTCCTCTTCTGGACTATTCGGGTATTGCATATAAAAGCGCACTTACATACCTGCAGGGGGGACATGCTAATCTTCTCTGTATCCTTCCAATTTTACTCTATTTGATGCTGAAGCAAACACCAGCCCTGTACTTCTATTTATTTATTTGTTTATTTATTTATTTATTTTAAGGTAATTAAAAAAACTTTTTTTTGGTCTTTTTTTTGAGACAGGGTCTCCCTGTAGCCCCAGCTGACCTGGAACTTGCTATGTAGACCAGGCTGGACGGCAAAAAAACAAAACACAAAAAGTTTTAAAGGGGTGTGTTGGCTCATTTGGGTAGCAGGCAAGCACACCTAGAGGAAATTTGATAAATATTTATCCTAACACAAGAGTATTATGTCAGCCAGGTGTGGTGGCGCACGCCTTTAATCCAGCACTAGGGAGGCAGAGGCAGGCGGATCTCTTGTGATTTCAAGGTCAGCCTGGTCTACATGGTGAGTTACAGACCTGCTGGGACTACAAGGAGATCCGGTCTCAAAAAGATTTAAAAAAACAAAAAAGTATTATGTCTTTTCCCCCTTGGCTGGGGTCCAACCTCACAGATTTTGGAGTTGGCAAGTTTTAATTTTCAATTTTTTTTTTTTTTTAAAGAATCAGAGCAAAGGAAATGAAAGAAAGGGGAAGGGGCTGGGTACCTGTGGCTGTGTCACAGTTCCAGGAATAGAGAGGGCTTTTGTGTAAACAAAAAGTTTTGAAATGTGGGGGTGATTAAATGTTAGCATTACAATGGTTATATTGCTGTGATCATCCTTTTGATAAGGAAGACTTGAATTCCTTTGAGTTATTTCTGTCCTCCTGAGCACAGGTCCAGCAGATGCTCTTTTCCATATTGAGATCTGTTCCTGGACACTCCCTCCTGCTGTTCACAACTATCCTTGGATCTGCCCTGGGCCACACAGGTCAGGATCCCCTGGAGGACCAGAAGCAATAGAATGGATACATATTACCAAAGGATGTGTTAGATTGGCTTAGGAGATAAAGGCAGGGCAGTGCTACATGGCTGTCTGCATGCTGGAGGGACTGAGAACACAGTGGCTACTCTGTCCTCAAGGCTGGATGTCTCGGCAGTCCCAATCTGGTGCTGACGCCTGCAGGATTCCTGGAGAGACACTGGTCCATGTCCAAAGGCCAAGCAAGCCAGGTTCCAGTGTCTGCAAAGGACTGTGGCAGGAGAGGCAGTAACAACAGGATGGACAGAGCTGGACAGGAAGAGCGGAGAGGTCTCCTCAGTCCCCTCACATCTCAGCTCCCAGATGCTGCCACCCACTGAGGGAGGGTCTTCTCCCTCAGGTAATCTTTCCTGGAAATTCCCTCACAGGTCTGCCTATGGGCTTGTCTCTTAGTGGATTCCAGGTCCAGTCAGGTGGACAATCAAGATGACCCATCAGACCTGCCCCACCGGGATGTGATGGTTAACCTTTGCCTAGGAGACACACTTAATGGCTGTGTGTTAGAGTACGCAGAGAGGTTGAGCTGAAGAGGGACGACCCACCCCAACTGGGTTGATACTGTCCATGGACCGGGGTCCCGGAATGAATAAAAGGAAAGAAGGAGGAAGCCAGCAGAGCAGCAGCGTTCAGCTGCTTCCTGACTGCAGTGTGAGCAGCTGCCTCCCGCCCAACACAGACCCGCCCCCATGGCAGACTATATCTCCTTAGGTGCTTTTGTCTGGTATTTTGTAATAGCAACGAGGGAGTAACTGGTACTCAGTACTTACCCTCTGAGGACCTCCTGCCTCTTCTTCCACAAAACTTTAGTGCACAAGAAACAGCCCCTCTTTCCACCCATCCTTTGTGAAGCTCTCCTCACCTCTCCAGCCACCTTTACAGACTGGTCAATAGATTCCACAGCAGTATTCCATAAGCTCCATAAGCTTAATTAAAAAAAAATGATGCTGGAGATTGTACACAAGGTTTCACATATGCCAAGCAAGTGCTCTGAGCTGTCTCCAGTCCCAGTAGTCCATAAGCTTTGCTGATGACCTACTGTGCACAGTCCTGAGCTCTAGCTCAACAAGCTCCACCCACTCGTTCTTAGAACCGCAAAGATCAGAAAGAAAAAGCCCAGGAGTCTCTGGTCTCCTGTCTACCATGCCTTCTGCACATTGCTTCAGTATCATTATGCCCATTGAATGGATGAGGAAACTGAGGGTCTAAGAGGTAGAATGACTTTCCAGGGCCACATAGCTGGAGAAATGAGCACAATCAATTGCCTCCTAGATCCCCAGCTGCCTCCAGGGGCTAAACACAGGGCTCCAGAAAGAGCGTCCATGCTGGTCAGGAGGAGAAGGGTGAAGCTATTCCCCTCTCCAAAAGCAAGCTGGAAGCAGAGAGTCTGGGTCCTTCTTCCCCCCAAACAGATTGTAGGTTGTTCCTACCCATTAGACAACAGTGATCAAAACCCTTAAGCACCCAGGTTCGAGAGGGTGATGGGGATGGGGGATGGGGATGCAGGGGCAGCCGGGGACAGCAATACTCAAGTTTGTTCTCGTTCTGGACCAAGAGCATCCCTCATTAGCTTCAGACGGGGCCCATGATGAGGCCTCACATCCCAAATCAATCTAAAGGATTCTCAGGGCCCCTGAAGTTAATGGGTCCAGAACCTCTTCTCAGAGCATTTTACCTTTTCTGGGTGGGGCACAGGACTCATAAGATCCTTTTTCAGCTTGGTTTTTAATTTAAAAAATATTTTATTTATTATTTTTATTTTATGTGTTTGAGTGTTTTGCCTGCATGGAACTCCTCAGTGTAAGTACACCCATGTCATGCAGTGCCCCTGGAGGTCAGAAGAGGGTGTTGGAGCACCTGGAACTGGAGTTACAGATGGTTGTTAGCTAAGATGTGGGTGCTGGGAACCAAACCCAGGTCTTCTACAAGACTTAACCATTGAGCCATCTCTCCAGCCCTAGTTTTTAATTTCTTATTACATTTATTTATAGGATTGGAGAGCCACAACAGATAAGTGGAAGCTGGAGAACAGGTTGCTGGAATCTGTTCTCTCCTGCCATTCTAGTCCTGGGGATCAAACTCTGGTCATTGAGCTTGGCCCCAAACACTTTACCCACTGAGCCATCTTGCCAGTTCCCATAAGATCCTGACACATCAAGTTCACGACTCAGAGACAAAGCAACCCCATCTCTCGGAAGCCCCTGGGGAGTTCCAGGCTGTAGACACAAGCTGGAAGAGGGCAGAGGGAACAGTGGCCTGCTCTGGAATTGGTGGAGTAACATAGACCTTAAATCCTGACTCTGCCTCTTACTGTGACTGGATGGAAGGCCTCAGCTGGAAGGCATTTGAAGAATTTCTATTTCACGAGGTGACCACAGGGTTAAATGAGAGAATGCATGAAGTGGGGTTGGCATTTTGAATCTGGCACATAGTGGGTGCCCAGCTACTATACTATGGTTCATGGCTAATGGACCAGTACTGACTGGGTGCTTCCTAGGCTTTGAGGCATCGCAAGCCTGGCACCGTATCAGTGGGCTGCTATTGTAAGGTATTCATTGGAGCTGGCACAGAGTTGGCACTCAGTCAATGTGTGTTCTTCCTGGACACATGGCAACCTGACCCTTGGCCTTCCCAGCAGCCACAGGAGGGTCTGGGCCTGATCTCCTGCTAGCTTATTTCTGGGGATGTCTGGCTCTCAGGTTCCCCTCAGTCAGTCTCTTCTGCCCCACTACCCACCTCACAGGCTGGACCTTCTATCACCTGCCCTGTGTCCCCAGCAGAATTCCAGAATGTCTGGCCTCTCCTTTCTTTACACTGTGTCCCTAGTTCACCAGATGACTCAGTCTACTTCTTGGAAGAAAATGAACACCTGTTTGTTTTGTTTGTTTGCTTGCTTGTTTGTTTTTACGACAGGGTCCAGGCAGCTTAGGCTGCCCTGGAACTCTTTTTTTAAAAAATTTTTAAAATTTGGACGAGTGTTTTGTCTGCATGCATGCATGTGTACCATGTACATGTACTGCCCACAGAGGTCAGAAGAGGGTATCAGAACTCCTGCAACTGGAATTATGAACCGTTGTGAGCTGCCATTTGTGTATTAGGAATGAAACCAGGGTCCTCTAAGAGCAGCAAGTTCTCTTAACAGCCGAGTCATCTCTGGAGTCCCTCACCTGGAGCTCTGTGGGTGACTAAGGCTGTCCTGATCCTCCTGCCTTAGACTCCCAGGTGGTGGAATTACAGGGATTACAGATGATGTCTGCAGACCAATGTTCATAGCCCCATTATTCACAAGAGACACGGGTTGAAACCTTCAAGGGTTTATCAGCAGATGAATAGAAAACCCGAATGCACCTAGGTGTGGTAGTGCACGCCTTTAATCCCCCCAGAGGCAGGTGCAATCGATCTCTGTACAATCGATGCCATCCTGGTCTGCATAGTCTGTTCCAGTTCCAGGCCAGCTGAGGTTACAGGGACATGGAGAACCTGCCTCAAAAAGACAAAAATAAATAAATAATAAATAATAAATAAATAAACAAACAAACCAAACCAACCAAAACTCTATACTCGCAGTAGAACATTATTTAGCCATCAGGAAGCACCAAGTGCTGACATCCACTGCCTGTGGGAACACCTTGAAAACATGGTCAGTGAGGAGCAGGACAGGAAGGACTACAGCTGCAGGATTCCACTGTGAGGTATTTACAGCAGGCAGTTCATAGAGACAGGAAGTGAATGGGACACTCCCAGGGTCTCAGGAGGAGGGGAGGGTGGGGAGGCATTGTTCAGGGGCTGCAGCTTCTGTTTGGAAATAGATGATGATGACAGCTACTCCAGACTGTAAAGGGAAACAGTTCTCCACAACGTGCACTTCTTTTTTAAAAATTTTATTTATTTTTATTTTATGTGTAGGAGTGTATTATATGCATGTGTGTAAGTACACCTGTGTCATGCAATGCTCGTGGAGGTCAGAAGAAGGCATCAGATGCCCTGGAACTGGAGGTACAGATGGTTGTCAGCCACCATGTGGGTGCTGGGAATTGAACCCAGGTCCTCTGCAAGAGCACCCAGGGCTCCTAACTGATGAGCCGTCTCTCCAGCCCACATTGTGAACTTCTAATGGTGAAAATGGA